CATGCAGAGAGGGGCCTCTGGCCTTGGCAGAGCCTTAATGAACATACACACATGAGCATGTTTCTTCTGACACTTACCAAGCATTCGTGAGGCTCTTGGCACGGGCCCCATGCTGTTCCCGGCCCTGAACCAATGGAACAAAGGCCCGTTTCCATGAAAATTGCATGGCAGACGCTCACGAGGGCCACAGAGACAACGAAGGAGAGAAAGAGACAGAAAAAATGGGGAGGAGTTGATGTGCGCCAGGAAATTTCCTGGCAAGACAAGACCTGAGTGTAGAAAAAAAAGAAAGCAAGCAAGCCACTGTGTGGGGTAGGGAAAGGGACAGACAGAGGGAAGTACAAAGGCCCTGAGGTTGAAGGTTCTGAGCTGCAGTGGCCCAGCGGGGCGGAGAGACGCATGGACTCTCGCGGTGGACCACCACTACTTCTCACTCAGATCCCTCCCCTCCCCCTACTGTGACAACATGATTTTGGGTGAATAAAAACAAATCAGAATTCATCAACTGTGAACAAAATTGTCAACTGTGAACCACCAACAGTCTGGCTTCAAAATAGACGATAGGTTGATGAAATACAGTAGGGAAAGCAATTGAAATCGAAGGCGTGGAGCCGCAGCGAGGGTGGCTTGTGGGTTGAGATCTGCGTGGGCCCAGAACCCCAGAGAAGCCGTTCGCTTGGCTTTCCAAATCATCAGCGAGGAAGGCTGGCTGGCCACTTGCCAGGAAACCCCGGCTCCTTGGGATGTACCAGCGTGCCATGCAAAAGAGAAGCAAGGATGGGCGGGAAGGTCTGCTGCCGCGTGCCTTTTAAGTAGGTCGCCATGCGGACTATTTCTGCACATTCTCTCTCTGATCCTGGCTCGCTCTCCTCTGTCTCCGGTTTTGTGATGATGGGGAAGGCCCCGGTTATAGCTGCATCCGGCTGGCTGTGGGACTGGTCCATATTCAAAAGTCGTTATTTCCCATCGTCTCAAATCACCTCCTTCGCAGGGCTAGCGGTAATACTTCGCTGCTGCATCCTGACAGTAATGTGAAGATTATGACTTGGCCAAGTTCATCCTCAGAGCCCACGATCCCCCCATCGGTGTGTTGTATGTTAGGACTTCTTTTTCTTTCTTGTAGACCTGAGCCATCTTGGCACAAAAAAAGAAATCTGTGTTTTTTAAACCCAAGATAAAGCATTTCTGTGGCATGGCGTCTGTCTCTGGAACAGTCTGATTGCTGGGGAGCCACCCCACACACAGCGGCTTCCACCACAGAGACGTGCTGTCCTTGGTCCTCGAGGTTCCAAGGCTGAATTCCAGGAAGGAACCGCAGCGGCTTCTGGGGACAGCGGGCAGCGGGCAGCAGCTTGTTTGGTGCCCGGCTCCTCGCCTCGAGCCGGCGGGTAGATGGCCCCACCCTGTGTCTCTTCATTCTCCTTTCCTCTCTGGTCATCAGGCTCCACAGTCAAAGCCCCCTCCCTGTCAGAACACCAGGAATAAATACCCCATCCCCATGCGCTTCTCCGAATCTGATTCCTTCTCCAAACTCCCTGTGGTTCAAAGAGGCCCCATTCTAAGGTACTAGTAGCCAGGTAAAGATTTGGGGGCGCGTTTTGTTATTTTTGGAGATAATAGAAGTTGAACTCAAGATGTTGGACTTGCTACGTAACCATGCCAGGTGCAGTTCCGTGAGATCCAGGTGGGGTTCCGTGAGCTCATTCCGGATGCAGTTCTGCAGGGTTACCCTAGGTAAAGTTCCTGTGAGCTCACTCCTGGCGAGGCTGTTAGGTAACTCTCGCTGGGGTTCTGTGAGCTCACTGTCGGCTAGGTTCTGTTAGGTATCTCTAGTTGGGGTTCTGTGAGCTCCCTGCAGGGGAGGTTCTGTTAGGTAACTTTGTGGGGTTCTCTGAGTCTGTCTGTGAGCTCACTTAGATGGGGTTCCTTCAGGCGTTTATTAGTTCAGTCTAGTTGGGGTGCTGTGAGCTCCCTCCAGGGGGGGCTGTGAGCTCACTCGTAGCGGTAGCGTGTGCCCACTCGAGTGTATTTAATGTCAGCGAAGGTACTGTGTGAAGTTACCATTGGTAGAGTTGGTTGAACTCTGTACGGACCGTTCTATGATCTGAGAGGGAGTTCTCTGTGCTCATTGTTCATTTGGGTTCTTTGAGCTCGCCAAGTGAGTGTTGTTTGAGCTCATTACAGCGCGTGTCCTGTGATCTCAGGAGCTCACTATTGGTACAGTTCTGCTAGCTCACAGTGAAAGACTTCAGTCACCCCACCATAAGGGTAGCTTCTGCATTGTAGGGAAGTTTTCTGCGGTCACTATGGGTAAGGTTGTGAAGTCAGTATAGGGAGATTTCTGCGATCTCACTATTGATAGAGTTCTATGAGCTCATTACAGTGAGGGCTGTGAGCTCACCAGAGAGAGCCAGTGCTGTCTAGTGGGTGTGTGTGAGGTCAGTATGGGGAATTACTGGCGAGCTCACTCTAGCTAGGGTTCTGTGAGTTCACAGGCGTTGAGGCTCACTCTCGAAAGGGTTCTGTGCGCGTCATGTAAGGAGAGTTCTGTGAGCTCCTAGAAGGAGAATTCTGTCCGCACAATGCAGGTGTGTACCCCTGAGCCCCCCCCCCTTCAGGAGGGGTCCTGTGAGCTGTCATGGTTCTCCGGTCAGGAGGCAGCGTCGGGCCCTGGGATGAGAGGATTCTTGCATTTCCCTCCTCGCATGCTTTTGTTGTTGAGACAGTATTATTGCATCATCCGGGCAGACCTGTACTTGCTTTGCAGAACAGCAAATTAGCAAGCAGGAAGGAGATTGGAGAGGAAGATGAAGAAGGGGGAGGAGTAGGAAGACAGAGGGGAAGAAAAGATGAGAGGAGAAAGAGGAAGAGGAAAAGGAGCAGGAGGAAGGGGAAGGGTCGGCCGGAGGATATGTCAGAGGAGGAAGAGAGGGAAGAGGAGTGTAAAGACCCAGGAGAAGGAGGAGGGGGAGAGAAAGGAGGAGTGGGGCTGGAGAGGAGGAGGAAGAGAAGGAAGACCAAGAGGATGAAGGAGGGGGAAGAGGCGGGAAAGGGAGAGGCCAGCTGTGCTCAGCCACGTGAAGAACTCGCTGGCGACTCCCTGCTATGTCCCGCTTCCTTCCTGACTTCCTCTTCCAGTCCATCTGAGCTGTCTGCCGGCCCTGCCTACACCCACGGTGTTTTGTGTTCTGTCTCCATGTACTCACGTCCTGCCTAACCTGAGTCGCGTCCAGTGGCTCTTTGTGCTTCATCTTCTCATACAGCTGCGATAACTCCCTGACCACACTGGACCTGCACTGAGACTCTCCAGGAGAGTCCCCTGTCCCCCACCCCTCTTCCTTCCATCCTCCCGTCCCCTCTCCCCCTGCTTCAAGAGAACCCAGCTCTCTTCCTCCCCCTGGATGGGTGACTGCCGGGGTTACACAGGGTGACCCCAGTGCCCTTAGGACCAGGTTTAAAGCACTCTGCTCCTGGATTTGTCATCCGCACAGACCACAGAGCCCCTCCACCGGTTCGCAAACCATTGTCCACCTGCACTTACCTATGTGGCTCTGCAGATTCTGGTGGCTTTTTGTTTTTCCTCTCAAAGGTATGCATGTGTGTTTTCCAAGGGCCAGGACTGTACCTCCTCTCTGCATCCTTTTAAAAGTTCCCCATGGCACACAATACAAGCTGCCGTCCAACGAGCGCTCTGTGCATTTTGGTATCACTGCTGCCTTTGAACGCTCGCCAGGTGGGCTTTCGCAGAAGGCTGATTAGGCAGGCCTCGATCATAACAACTGTGCAGACAGAAGGGGAGGAAAATCCCAGACAGCTCACCTTCGAGGGAAGAGCGGAGATGCAGAATGAGCCCACCTAGTGCACTGTGGGATGCCTGTGTCCTGAAGCCCCACCCACCGGCCCTGGAGGGTCCCAGGACTCAGCCTTCAGAGTCAGAGATGCATGCAGATGAAAGCCGTGGTGGTCATGAGTTACTGAACTCTTGTAGCTCTCAGTTCCGTCCTCTATGATGTAGGAATTTAAAACATGCTGGTAACTGGCGTGGCCTCTCGCATTGCTCCCTCCTGCTTAGGTTCTCAGTTTATAGAGGCTTAAAAGAATCAGAAGAAAGTAACCAAAATATAGCTACTGCTGATAAAAGGTGACAGACTGCAGCTTAGAGACTTGTAATTCTGTGTCCTAGAATTAGACCTTGCCACTGAGTCACAGGCTGGTTCCACAGCCAGGGCCCTGCTCCAGGGAGCTAAAGTCAGGTACCCTTTGGACAGTGGGAACAAAAGCATCCACTCTGCCTTGTTCCCGAGGGGAAGGTGTAGGGTGTCGGGCTTGCCATCAAGCCTGGCTGGAGAGACTGGTTAAGAGGATGCTCCAGGCAGCCTCCTCTGTGTGGGGAGGCGGAGAGGGGAGGAGCATCCACAGAGATGGAAGAATGCCTCACAGTCCACTTAGGGCTCCACAGGTGCTCCATTTCCTATCAAACAGTCTTCTTTTATAAGTAGTGATCGTTGCGTACACTTGTCATTAAAATAAGCCTTCCAGCGCTTCTACTGTGTTTTGGAAGTTAGCCTGCTCAGCTGGAAAAACATGAAAGGCCAATCCTTATTTAGCATGCTGGGCCTTAGACCTTCCACAGAGATGTCCCTGCCTTCTCCACCTTCTCTAGATCAAGGGCTCTGGCTGTTTCCTAGGAGGCTGAATGGTGGTCTGTAGTGACTGCGTTCTTATTTCCGTGTGTGCGTCCACGTCTGAACTCCTGGGCCTAGGTGCTGTCCATGAGCTTTTTTGCTCAAGGATAGTGCTCTGTCACTCGAGTCACAGCTCCACGTCACGTTTTTTGGTGGTTAATTGGAGGTAAGAGTGTTGCAGACTTTGCTGCCTGGCTGGTTTCAAACCTCGATCTTCAGATCTCAGCCTCCTGAGCAGCTGGGATGACAGGCGTGAGCTGCTGGTGCCTGGTCTGACTACATTCTTACCACCTGTTTTCTCTCTCTCTCTTGCAGTGCAAATTGGAGTTCCATGCTTGCTCTATAGGCAAAAGCCTCAGCATCCTCTGTGATGGGCCCTGTCCGTGTCTCCCAGAGCCTGAGCCTCCCAAGCCCAGGGCAGAGAAGAACGGTGAGTAGAAACCTCAGGGCACTACTCGAGGCGCGTCGAGTGGCCCAGAGCAGGCCGGCACAGGCAAGCCTTGTCCCACATTCACAGGAGCAACTTGGCGTTCTGCACGGGGGGAATGAGTTACCTCAGCAAGGAAGTTCTCTAATTTGTTTAGGGATCCTAAAGTGAATTTCCTTCATCTATCATTGAAGAGAAACATTAAAAACAATGCTAAGAGGCTTTGAGAATAACTCTGTTGGACCGAGCTAGACGCTGGGTCCTTTTAGAGGTGGAATTTGCCGGGGTGTAGGAGGAGCAGGTTCTTTTAGCATCTGAGACCAGGGCCTGCCCTCGGGTGTATCTTGGGTTTTCTTGAACTCTAATCTCTCAAATCCTTTGAACTTCTCATGGCCAAATATCAAAACAGAGACTGCGGAGATATCACAACCGAGGCGCCTTCTCCCCCCAAGCATCTCCTCATTAATGTATTCTGCTTGGAGGACAGCACAGAGCCAAGCACAGAGCCAAGCCATAGATCAAAGAGAGTTCTTTCCCCAGGGCGCCGGCCCTCCTCCAGGGCCAAGGGGTCAGGAGAGGCCGGGCTTCGGGGGGGGGGGGAGTTTCCACGCGCGAGAAGCACCGTCTCCACTTCTGAGCCGTCCTTCATGAGACCCAAGACAAGTCTAAATTGTCTATTGTGGCACCGGGCACTGTCAGCTGTGATTGGCCTCCTGTGGCAAATGCTGTGTATGTGCGTGTGTGAATGTGTGTGCGTGTGCACATGTGCATGAGAAGCTATTGGTGACAGAAAGGGGAGGGGCGAGGGGAGAGAGACTGTCCACTTTTGCCGTCCTTCCTAGCGCAGACACAAGTAGACCTCAAGGCTTAGGCACCGTTGTCGTGGTAACGTCGGGGAGACTGGGGTTGTGAAGGCTCTTTGGAGGTTCAGCTCAGGATGTGGTCATCCGTAAAGACGACTCACTTGTAAACACCAGACCGTGTTGCACTTGAGGGCGTTATCCATATAACTATAGGAAGAAAAGTGAACTAGGGCTCACCAGCCTCCACGTAGCCTCGTGGCATTAAGTGACTACTAAGTCCAGAAATTTCCAGAAATGCCTGGAAATTTCTTGACGGCCTCCTTAGAAGTTTCAGTAGCTTCTATTATTCTAGTCCTACGTTGTATTGCTTTGATTTGCTGTTCCGTTCTGAGACTAGGGAACTGGGCCAAGAAAGCCATCCATTTGCCTGGCACCCGCAGATGCCCGCTGGTGCGCCCCCACCGGCCACAGGAGGTAACAGGCCCCTTCTCTGAGGGGCGCTTAGACTCTCGGAATGAAGAACCCTTGTTCTTAACGGTGGCCTTTGCCCTTGACTAAATGAGACTTTCCCTCACATGACACATTCCAGGGCTGGCTTTGGCTGTACCATCTATTTATGCCGTTATTTGCTGGAGAAACAAATCCTGCAGGTAAGCATGCTGCTGCGAGACATAAAGAGGCTTGCAGAAGCCTCATTCCTGAAATCCGAAAGGTCAGGTAGAACAACGCCGCCTTTTAAAAGTATCTCAAGACATTCGCAGAGGCTTGGGCTGCTAAATTAGTGGTGAGAGGCAGTTCAGCAAAACAAGAACAGCCGCCATTAAATCGTATTAGAAAAGGGAGAGCGCCCCCAACAATATTCCAAGACAACCACGATGGCATTTCCACATCATTTCCTTCAGCACCGCATGCTTGCTTCTTGCTCCACTGGACCTTGGGGCAACAGTTTGCTTTTAGTTTGTTTACATTTTAGTTTGCTCTTCATGTCTCTGGACTGCACCAGGTCCTATAAATTCTTGCTTGGTCCTAAAGCCTCCTGGACATCATCTAAGAAATACCACAACCTTGAAAACTCCATCAGTGGGTCTGGCCCTTGGACCAGCAGCATTTCATGAACGCTCTCCCCACGGGTCCCATGCCGGGGTTTCACGAGACAGGCCTTTTTGTTTTGCCAAAAAAAAATACCACTTCTAGTCTATGGCTGATGGCAGGAGTTCCATGTAACCAGAAGCAGAGCAGAGACAGCCTATGAATGGCGAGATGGGATGGAATGGTTATCACGTGAGCGGAATGTTCCCATCTTTCCATCTTACGATGGAATCCTCCCCCCACCCATTAGCCAGGAACGTCCAGCTGTTTAACATGGATCGCATCAGTGTTTCCCGGAAGGTTAAGAACATGTTACAGGCAGTGAGGGCTTTGATGATTCCCCAGGGTCACGGGCATGTGAAGTGAAGCACTTAAATTAATCATGTTTTGCCTGGACAAATTTGATCAAGGGAGGACTGAGCTTCTCCTTGGAGCTGACAGTTCTCCGCTGACATAGGATGGGGCCCGGCTGAGGCGGGACGAGGAGGAGGGATAGAAGAAGGGAAAGCTCAGAAGTGACAGCTGAGCTTTGGGGGTAGAGAGAAAGAGGAGGGGGAGTCGATCGTGAAACCCCCTTTCCATGTCTGCCGGCCCGCAGTCCCTTCTGGAAGCTGCGGGAAGCGGGGTGGTGTCTGCAGGCATTCCTGCCTCTCGACACGGCCACGGTCTCTCTGTCACCAGCGACGTTCTGCAGAGCCTCTCTGGGGGCTGGGGAGGATGAGGCTCTAAGGACAGGGCCTTCCTCTCTTCCCTTAGGTGCCCAACCTCAGGAAGGCTGGCACGCGTGCGGGAGGTGGGTGCAGGGGCCCCACGCAGGCCGGGGAGAGGAGGAAGCGGCGTCTCCAGCCGGGTGTGCCAAGGAGGAAATCACGGCCTCCCTCCAGCTGAGTGATTTGCCACAGGAGAAAACTCGTCTGCAGCGATGTTCTTTTCTCAAATGTTGTTTTCCACCTGGGGGCTAGATTCTGAGAGGAAAAGACACTGCTGCGGGTTGACAGAAGGTTGTCTGATTCCATCACTTCTCACGAGTGGAGTTGGGGGGGGTTGAGTTGAAGAGGGGGGGAATCCTCCCAGTAGTCATGTCTTCATGGAAGTCTTAAAGAACCCCGCTACAGGGGCTCCTGGAGAAATGGAGGCGTACCTCTACAATCTGGAAAGCTCCTCCTCCTTTCGTGTCTTGTGTAGCAGGATACAGGTCTCGGGCTTGCAAACCTGCAGTTTAGAAGCAGTTCCTATTAACCTGTCTCTGCACCCATTCAACTGCTGTCACTTAGGACTCTGTGCTAATATACGCAGGAATTAAACATATAAAGAAACATTTAATTGTTTAGGGACCCATTCTTCTAAATGTCATGACCTCCCCACCCCCCAAAAAAAAGCTTGAAAGTTTAAATTGGAAACTGGATCAAAGAAGAACTCGGAGTTGGCTGTGTGTACAGTGATAGCTATGCAGATCCATTAGGACTGCAGCCAAGATCAGAACAGAACCACCCAGATGTCTCCAGTCTGAGCAGAGCGAGGAAGGAGGCAGAAAGCTCTGAGCGACGTGTCCGCACCTTAAGTCCTTGTCCTCGTCCAGAATGTAACTCCAGGGTCCCTTCCACGGGAACCACGGGAGCTCTCAGCAAAACCAGCAGGGGCCCAGGTAGGTCCTCACCGTTAGGATGAACCGAAGAAACAGTTACAGGGCAACCCCGGAGAAGCACAGACTCTACTTACACTGCCAGGTCAGGCCTGTCCTTAGGCCTTTGGCAGTTGGAGTTGCTATCGTTTGCTCTAACTGACGTGGGAGCACTCCCTTTAGAAATAGAGATGATGGCTTGGTACTCAGAGTCGGCCCATAATGCCATGGGAGGCTGGAAGTTTCTAGAAGTAAGTGGGAGCTTAGAATGGCCTGGAGAGGGAGCAGCTGTGTGCCATTCCTCTTCACAGCTCACCCGGGAGGAGACAGACAGTAAGCCAGTGGGACATGGCGGAGTCCGTCACCCTGTTGTGAGCGATCGTGGGAGGATTTGCCAGCTGGAGGCTGGGCAGGTGTAGGAATCCGGGCAGCAGACAGGCAAGGTTTGAACTAGGGTTAAAAATAGGATTTACGCTGGGAAGGTAGCTCAGTGGTAGAGTGCTTGCCTTGCATGCACGAGGCCCTGGGTTCGATTCCTCAGCACCACATAAGCAAAAAGAAAAAAAAATAGGATTTGCATTGCGTATTGTAGAATGTGTCAACAATACCACAAAATATAAAGAATATTTTTTAAATTACCCAACTTTCCAAACTGAATATAATCACCTATTACTTTCCCATCTTTACCATTAGCTTAATAGTACTTAATAATATTCCCGTCGTCAATGACTCCTTTAAAACTTTATTTTTAATGTCATGATGGTGTTTGATTATATAAGTGACTGTAATTTTTATAATAAGTCCTCTATTATTGAGCACTTAACTTCTCTTTAATTTTTCATGATTATAAACACTGCTCTTATGAGCATCATTGTGTATTAATTTTGTAGGCCTAGTAATCATTTTCCCGGGATATATCCCCAGCAGGAGAATTTCTGGGTAAAAAGGTATACGTATTATAAAACCTTTGTTATACATAGCGTAGCGGGACTTTTTCAGGAGAAATATACCACACACACACACACACAGGGCCCACCCCAGCTCTCCACGCTACCACTCTAAGAATCTTCCTACTCTGTGGGTTAAGAAAGTAAGATTTCATTTACTGGAATCTAATAGACACTCCAGGTCCCAAATAATAATGGTTTAAACAAGAGAGAAAAGGGTGCCGTTGGTGATGTTCATATAAACCAGGTCACGTGGCCGGAGGCCGGGGGCCCATCCATGACAACCTCGATCTCATCGGGATCTCGTTTTTTCCACGTTGTTGCTCTGACAGGCTCATTCCCTGGCCAGTGGCGTCTGCTCGAGCCCTGGACATTCCGTCCACACTCAGAGAAGAAATCATGTCATGTGCAGGTCTGCTTACCTCTTCGTGGCTAACGCAGTCTGAATTCAGCCCAGGGTCACAAGGCCCTGCTTAGATGCTAAGCGAAATAGACTCTTAAGGTACAAAGCAACAGACCAGATAGGAACCAAGGCTCTCACGT